CTATAGGATATAGCAAAATGCTCAGAGGAAAAATTATAGCAGTAAATGCCTATGTTACAAAAGATGAAAGATCTCAAATCAATAACTTCACACCTTGTTTTAATCTGCTAATCCTACCATAACAAAATACAACAGACTGGGTGTTTTAAATAACAGAAATTAATTTTCTCACAGTTCTGGAGGCCAGAGGTTCAAGATCAAGGTGCCATCAGAGTTGGTTTCTGATAAGGCTTTTCTTCCTGGCTTGCAGACAGCTGTCTTCTTACTGTGCTCTCATATGGCCTTTCCTTTGTGCGTGCTTGCACTCAGAGCAAGAGAGTGCTCTGATGTCTCTCTTTCTTATAAGGACATCAATCCTATCATAGGAGGGCCCCACCCTTATTACCTCATTTAACCTTGACTGTCTTCCTAATGAACTTAACCTCAAATACAGTCGCATTGGGGATTAGCACTTCAACATATGAATGGGGGAGCACAATTTAGTTCACAATACATACTTAAATTTTTTTTTAAAGAGACCAAATCAAACCCAAAGATAGCAGAGAGAAATATAAAGATTACAGTGGAGATAAATTAAAGAGATAATGTAAAAACAGCAGGGAATAAATGAAACCAGATGCTGCTCGTTCTCAGAAAAAAATCAACAAGATTGGCAGACATTAGCTACACTGAGAAAGAAATAGAGAAGATGCAAATAACTAAAGTCATAAATCAAAATGGAGACATTAAGGCCAGGCTGGTCTCAAACCCTAACCTCGGGTGATCCATCTGCCTTGACCTCCCAAAGTGCTAGGATTACAGGCATGAGCCGTCATGCCCAGCCCAAAACAATGTTTTAATCAAAAACAAAGTCAAAGGACTCACACTTTCTGATTTGAAAAGTTATTACAAAGTTACAGTAATCAAAATAGTGTGATACTGGCATACAAACAGACATATAATAAATGGAAAAGAATTGAGAGTCCAGAAATAAACCAACCTATGGCTAATTGGTTTTTGACAAGTGTGCTAAGACTATCCAATGGGAGAAAAGATATGGAATGAAGAAAGAGTTCAATTTTTCTTTGAATATGGAATGAAGAAAGTTCAACTCCATTCCTTTCCATGTGCATATGCAATTGCTTCAGCATCTTGCATTTCCGCATTGCTGAATCAACTGCATCTCCACATGCAAAAAAAAAAATGAAGTTGAACTCTTTCTTCATTCTAAATTCAAAATTTAACTAAAATGAATCAACAACCTAGATATAAGAGCTAAAACCATAAAACACTTAGAAGAAAATGGGACAAAAATTTTATGATGCTGGATTTGGCAATGGATTCTTAGATATGACACCAAAAGCATGAACAACAACAACGAAAATAGATAAATTGGTTATCATCAAAATTAAAAACTTCTGCACAAAAGGCGTTATCAAGAAAGTAAAAAGACAACCTGCAGAATGCTAGAAAATATTTGCAAACCACTTTAACATGAGTCTAGAATCCATAATATATGAAGAACACTTACAACTCAACAACAAAAAGAAAACCTGATTTTTAAAATGGTCAAAGGATCTGAGTAGATATGTTTCCAAAGAAGATATATAAATTGCCAACAAGCACATCCGTGAAAAGATGCCTAACATCATTAGTCATTAGGGAAATGAAAATCAAAACCACAATGATGTACTACTCAACACCCAACAGGTTGGCTACAGTATCTTTTTTAATGGAAAATAGCAAGTGTTGGGGAGGATGTGGAGAAACTGAAACCCTGTACATTGCTGGTGGAAATGTGAAATGGTTCAGCCACTGTGAAAAACAGTTTGGTGGTTCTTCAACAAGTTAAACAAAGATTTACCATACAACCCAGCAATTTTAATACTAGTTATCTACTCAAAAGACCTGAAATCAGGCACTTAAGCAAGTATAAGTACACACATGTTCCTACCAGCACTATTTACAATAACCAAAAGCTGGAAACAGCCTAAAGTTCCACCAATAGAAAAATGGATTAAGAAATTGTGATATGTACTTACCATGGAATACCAGTCATAAAAAGGAAAGTAGTACTGATACACACTACAACATGTGAACCTTAAAAACATGCTAAGAGAAAGAAGGCAGATACTAAAGTTTACCTATTATATAATGCCATTTATAAGAATTATCCAGAATAGGAAAATCCATACAGACATCACATAAATTAGTGGTTACCAGGGGCAGGGAGAAGAATCGGGTACAGTTGGTATCAGTACAGGGTTTCCTTTTGGGGTTACAAAAATGCACAATATTGTGAATGTACCTAATGCCACTATTGCTCACTTTAAGATGGTTAATCTTATTTTATGTAAACTTCACCTGAAATATTAAAAATTATACACAAAACAAAATATCCTTAAAATAATACACCTATATAGATTGTTAGCTTCCAGAAGGATTATTCAAATGCTATATTTCTGAACTGTTAGAATTTCTCCCCTGAAAGACTTTAAGGTAATAATGCTCTTTAACATTCTTGAGCCCTTCTTATATACCAGAAATTATATTAAATGTTTTGTATACATTATTTCCTTAATAATATCCATCATTACCTCCAAAAACTGATATGGGCCAAATGTGGTGGCTCACACCTGTAATCCTAGCACATTGGGAGGCTGAGGCTGACCTCAGATCACTTGAGGTCAGGAGATTGAGACTAGACTGGCCAACATGGCAAAACCCCATTTCTACTAAATATACAAAAAAACTTAGCCTGGTGTGGTGATGGACACCTGTAATTCTAGTTACTAGGGAGACTGAGGTAGGTGCTTGAACCAGGGAGGCAGAGATTGCAGTCAACCGAGATGGTGCCACTGCATTCCACTCTGGGTGACAGAGCAAGACCCTGTCTCAAAAAGAAAACAAAGAAAAGAGAAACATCCATATCTTGTAATTAAAGGATGATTGGACTTGATTACGGCCATTTCTTAGGCAAGGGCAAGTCTTCTGATTTTCTGAATGAGGACTTGTGGTTTAAGTTACACAGGGACTATAGCTAAAATAGAAAATGCACACTAATCTTCATTTTGTTTTGTCAAAAATTAAGATCTCTATTGGAGTGCTAATGCTTAAACATAATAATTAAAAAGCAAATAATCCTTTTTTTCTCATCCATAACTACTGTAAAATCTAACCTGTAATAGATTGCCGTTATTATTTTTTTAATGTTTGTTGGGTCCAACCCTCTCCTAAGCTGCTGCAGAAAATCAGGGCATCCCACTACCCTGAAATCAGTAAGGACTTGCACTTTTTCTCTCCGCTCCAGCTTTTGAGACTCCATTTCAAAAAAAAAAAAAAACCCAGAAACAAACAAACACCTGATGTATGACAGGACAAAGAGACTAAATTGCTCCAAGTCAAATAGGAGGTAAATAGACCTCAAATGAGCTTAGCTGTTAATTTTGCTTTAGTATAGCAACAGAATTAAAAACATTTAGTCAAGAGTTTATTGAGTGCCTGTTGTGTTTATCAGTGTGGTACAGTTAATACTGATGAGACAAAAGATTTTTGAAGCATATGAGGATATAAATATTTGTAATTGTTAAGTATGTGCCTTAAATTGTAATAGAATAAATATATTAGACATCAAAACTGTAATGTCACAGACATTATTGCTTAGGATAATGCTAAAGTGGGTAAATCAGTTATTAAAATAAATTTTTTAAAGAAAAGTACTAAAAATAACAATAGTTGGCATTTATCAAACATTTATTTGCTATATATTAATGTATATACTCATTTATTTAATCAATATACTTATTTAGCATATATTCACTTATTTCATCAATTGTTAAGACAATACTTATATGTCAAAAGTTTACGAAGGTGCTATTCATATAACTAAAACATAGAAAACACTGGTTTAAAAAAATGTGAAGACAATTGTTTTTGTTTTCAATAGGTTTCTGTGGAACAGATGGTGTTAGGTTACATGGATAAGTTTTTAGCCACAATTTCTAAAATTTTGGTGTGCTGATCACCCAAGCAGTGTACACTGTACCCAGTGTGTAGTCTTTTATCCCTGACACCCCTGACCCTTTCTACCCAAGTCCCCAAAGTCCAGTGTATCATTCTTATGCTTTTGTGTCCTCATAGCTTAGCTCCCACATACGAATGAGAACACAGGATGTTTGGTTTTCCACTCCTGAGTTACTTCATTTAGAATAATCGTCTCCAATTCTATCCAGGTCGTTCTGAATGACATTATTTCATTCCTTTTCATGGCTGAGTAATATTCCATGGAATCTATATATCATATTTTCTTTACCCATTCATCGATTGATGGACATTTGAGCTGGTTCCATATTTTTGCAATTGTGAATTGTGCTGCTATGAACATGCCTGTGCAAGTATCTTTTTCATATAATGACTTTTTTTCCTCTGGGAAGATACCTAGTAATGGGATTACTGGATCAAATGGTAGATTTACCTTTCGTTCTTTAAGGAATTGCCACACTGTTTTTCACAGTGGTTGTACTAGTTTACATTCCCACCAACAGCATAAAAGTATTCCTTTTCACCACATCCATGCCAACATCTACTATTTTTTTAATTTTTTGATTATAGCCATTCTTGCAGGAGTGAGGTGGTATCACATTGGGGTTTTTATTTGCATTTCCCTGATAATTAGTGACATTGAGCATTTTTCCATATGGTCATTGGCCATTTGTATATCTTCTTTTGAAAATTGTCTATTCATGTGCTTAGCCCACTTTTTGATGGGATTATTTGTTTTTTCTTGCTGATTTGAGTTCCTTGTAGATTCTGGATATTCGTCCTTTGTTGGATATATAGATTGTGAAGATTTTCTCCCATTCTGTGGGTTATCTAGTAACTCCAACTCTCTTCTTTTGCTGTGCAGAAGCTATTTAGTTTTATTAAGTCCCATCTATTTATATTTGTTTTTGTTGCATTTGCTTTTGGGTTCTTGGTCATGAAATCTTTCCCTAAGCCAAATGTGTAGAAGGGTTTTTCCAATGTTATCTTCTAGAATGTTTATGGTTTCAGGTCTTAGATTTAAGTCTTTGATCCATCTTGAGTTGATTTTTGTATAAGGTGAGAGATGAGGATTCAGTTTCATTCTTCTACATGTGGCTAGACAATTATCCCAGCACCATTTGTTGAATAGAGTGTCCTTTCCCCACTTTATGTTTTTTGATTGCTTTGTTGGAGATCAGTTGGTTGTAAGTATTTGACTTTATTTCTGAGTTCTCTATTCTATTCTATTGTTCTATGTACCTATTTTTATACTAGTACTATGCTGTGTTGGTGACTATGGGCTTATAGTATTGTTTGAAGCTGAGTAACGTAATGTCTCCAGATTTGTTCTTTTTGTTTAGTCTTGCTTTGGCTATGCAGACTTTTTTCTTTTCTTTTTTAAAAATCTGTATGAATGTTAGGATTGTCTTTTCTAGTCATGTGAAGAATGATGGTGGTATTTTCATGGGAGCTACACTGAATTTGTAGATTGCTTTTCGGAGTATGGTCATTTTTACAATATTGATTCTACCGATCCATGAGCATGGGATGTGTTTCCATTTGCTTGTGTTGTCTGTGATTTCTTTCAGTAGCATTTCGTAGTTTTCCTTGTAGAGGTCTTTCATGTCCTTGGTTAGGCATATTCCTAAGTTTTTTGTTTTTGTTTTGTTTTTTGTTTTTTGCAGCTATTGTGAAAGGGACTGAGTTCTTTATTTGATTCTCAGCTTGTTCGCTGTTGGTGTATAGCAGAGCTACTGATTTGTGTACATTAATTTTGTATCCTGAAACTTTGCTGAATTCATTCACAAGCTCTAGGAGCTTTTTGGATGAGTCTTTAGAATTTTCTAGAGGTACGATCATATAATCAGCAAACAGCAACAGTTTGACTTCCTCCTTATTTGGATACTCTTTATTTCTTTCTCTTGTCTGATTGCTCTGGCTAGGAATTCCAATACTGTGTTAAACAGAAGTGGTGAAAGTGGGTATCCTTGACTTGTTCCAATTCTCAGGAAGAATGCTTTCAACTTTTCCCCATTCAGTATAATGTTGGCTGTGGGTTTGTCACAGGTGGCTTTTATTACTTTAAGGCATGTCCCTTCCATGATGATTTTGCTGAAGGTTTTAATCCTAAAGCGATGCTGGATTTTGTCCAGTGCTTTTTCTGTGTCTTTTGAGATGATCATGTGATTTTTGTTTTTAATTCTATTTATGTGATGTATCACACTTATTGATTAACATGTCTTAAACCATCCCTGCATCCCTGGTATGAAACCCACTTTATCATGGTGGATTATCTTTTTGATATGCTGTCAGATTCAGTTCACTAGTATTTTGTTGAGGATTTTTGCATCTATTTTTATTGGAGATATTGGCCTATAGTTCTTTCTTTTGGTATTAGGGTGATACTGGCTTCATAGAATGGTTTTTGGTATAAGGGTGATACTGGTTTCATAGAATGATTTAGGAAGGATTTCCTCTTTATCTTTTGGAATATTGTCAATAGAATTGGCACCAATTCTTCTTTGAATGTCTGAGAGAATTCAGTTGTGAATCCACCTGATCCTGGACTTTTTTTTGTTGGCATTTTTTTAAATTACCATTTCAACCTTGCTGCTTGTTATTGGCCTGTTCAGAGACTCTATATCTTCCTGGTTTAATCTAGGAGGGTTGTATATTTCCAGGAATTTGTCCATCTCCTCTAGGTTTTCTAGTTTATGCACATAAAGGTGTTCATAGCAGTCTTGAATAACCTTTTGTATTTTTGTGGTATCAGTAATAATATCTTCTGTTCCATTTCTAATTAAGCTTATTTGGATCTTCTCTTATTTTCTTGGTTAATCTCACTAGTGGTGTGCCAATTCTATTTATCTTTTCAAAAAATCACATTTTGGTTTCATTTATCTTTTGTAATTTTTTTGTTTCAATTTCATTTAGTTCTGCTCTGATCTTTGTCATTTCTCTCCTGCTTCTGGGTTTGGATATGGATTGTTCTTGTTTCTCCAGTTCTGTAAGGTGTGACCTTAGATTGTCTAGTTGTGCTCTGTCAGACTTTTTGATGTAGGCATTTACTGCTATGAGCTTTTCTCTTAGCACTGCTTTTGGTGTATCCTAGAGTTTTTGATAGGCTATGTCACCATTATCATTAGCTGTAAAAAAAGATTTTAATTTGCATCTTGATTTCACTGTTGACCCAATGATCATTCAGGAGCAGGTTACTTAATTTCCATCTATTGCATGGTTTTGAGGGTTCCTTTTGGACTTGATTTCAAATTTCTTTCCAATGTTATATGAGAGAGTACTTGATATAATTTCAATTTTCTTAAATTTACTGAGACTTGTTTTGTGGCCTATCATATTGTCCACCTTGGAGAATGTTCCATATACTGATGAACAGAATGTATATTCTGCAATTGTTGGGTAGAATGTTCTCTAAATACCTGTTAAGTGCATTTGTTGTAGGGTATAGTTTAGGTCCATTGTTTCTTTGTTGACTTTCTGTCTTGATGACCTGTCTAATGCTGTCAGTAGAGTATTAAAGTTGTTCATTATTATTGTGTTGCTGTCTATACCATTTCTTAGGTCTGGTAGTAATTGTTTTATAAATTTGGGAGCTCCAGTGTTAGGTACATATATATTTAGAATTGTGATATTTTTCTGTTGGACTAGTCTTTTTATCATTATATGTTTCTCTTTGTCTATTTTAACTGATGTAGCTTTAATGTTTGTTTTGTCTAATATAAGAATACCTACTCCTGTTTGCTACTTTTGGTGTCTATTTGCAAGGGATATCTTTTTCCACCCCTTTACCTTAAGTTTATGTGAGTCCTTATGTATTAGGTAAGTCTCTTCAAGAAAGCAGAAACTTGGCTGGTGAATTCTTATCTGTTCTGCCATTTTGTATCTTTTCAATTGGAGCACTTAGACTATTTACACTCTCTATTAATATTGAGATGTGAAGTACTATTCTATTCATCATGCTATTTGTTGCCTGAATACGTCAGAGTTTGTTTTTTTCTTTCATGGCATTATTGTTATATAGGTTCTAGGAGATTTATGCTTTAAGGAGCTCATATTTTGATGTAGTTCAAAGATTTGTTTCAAGATTTAGACCTCCTTTTAGCAGTTCTCGTAGTGCTGGCTTGGTAGTGGTGAATTCTCTCAGCATGTTTGTTTGGAAAACACTGTATCTTTCCTTAATTTATGAAGCTAAGTTTCACTGGATACAAAATTCTTGGCTGATTGTTTTGTTTAAGGAGTCTAAAAATAGGTACCCAATCCCCTCTAGTTTGTAGGGTTTCTGCTGAGAAATCTGTTCTTAATCTGATGGATTTTCCTTTATAGGTTACCTGATGCTTTTGCCTCACAGCTCTTCAGAGTCTTTATTTTGTCTTGACTTTAGATTATCCAATAACTATGTGCCTAGGTGATGATAATCTGTTTGTGATGAATTTCCCAGATGTTCTTTGAGCTTTTTGCATTTGGATGTCTAGATCTCTAGCAAGGCTAGGGAAGTTTTCCTTAATTATTCCCTCAAATATGTTTTCTGAACTTTGAGATTTCTCTTCTTCCTGGAGAACACCAATTATTTTTAGGGTTGGATGTTTAACATAGCCTCAAACTTCTTGGAGGCTTTGTTCATTTTTATAAATTCTTTCCTCTGTCTTGGATTGAGTTCATTCAAACTTCCAGGTCTGAAGTTCTTTCTGCTGCTTGTTCAATTTGACTGCTGAGACTTTCCATTACATTTTGCATTTCTTTAAGTGTGTCCTTGATTTCCAGAAGTTGTGATTGTTTTTATTTATACTATATATTTCACTGAATAATTTTCTTTTCATATCCTGTGTCATGTTTTTGATTATCTTAAGTTGGACTTTACCTTTCTCTGGTGCCTCCTTAATTAACTTAATAATCAACCTTCTGAATTCTTTTTCTGGCAATTCAGAGATTTCATCTTTGTTTGGATCCACTGCTGGTGACCTGGTATAATGTTTTGAGGGTGTCAAAAATAACCTTGTTTTGTCATATTACCAGAATTGTTTTTCTGGTTCCTTCTCATTTGGGTAGATTATATTAGAGGGAAGATCTGGGATTCAGAGCCACTGTTTAGATTCTTTTGTCCCATGAAGTACTCCCTTGATGTGGTGTTCTGCTTCCCCTAGAAATGAGCTTCCTGAGAGCCAAATTGTAATGATTGTTTTTTCTCTTTTGGGTCTAGCCACCCAGTGGAACTACCAGGCTCCAGGCTGGTACTGGAGTGTTGGCAAAGAGTCCTGTGATGTGATCCAATTTCAGGTCTTGCAGCTATGGATGCCAGCACCTGCTCTGGTGGAGGTAGGAGGGGAGTGAAGTGGTCTCTGTGAGAATCTTTGGTTGTGTTTTTGTTTAGTGCACTGCCTTTGTGTTGGTTGGCCTCCAGCCAGGAGGTGGCACTTTCAAGAGTACATCAGCTGTGGCCCTATAAGGAGGTTGCAAACTTGCCCTTGGGACACCTGGTTAAGATTTTGTTTAAAAAAATTATTCAGCTAAGGCAGCATAAAAGGTGATTTATTGTATGATTGTTACACTTGTCCACAAGTGAATACAGAAGTAGTCCAGAATGTCACAGTTCCAGGGCAAAGGACCAACATGGACAGTTTTGATTATGAGCAACATGCATCTCAGAGGTGGCCTCAGTGATCAAAGTGATGAAAGTTCTAGATCCACTGAGACAAGCTCTAAACAGTAGCATGCAGTCCACCAACTTGTGTCAGCAGCCCCAGCCTGTGGCATTCCATGTTTCTCTTCCTGCAGTCTCCACAAGTGCACAGCTAGCAGTTTACTTGGACATCTGCCTCATCTTTCTTCTTTTGCGTTTCAGCCTGTGCATTCACTTCTTCCTCCACTTGGCTCTCATGGTACAGAGGTTTTCAAGAAGATGGCCCTAAGGCATAACTTATTTTTGAAGTCAGACTGACCTGAATTTAATTCTGAGCTCTACTACTTAATAACTGTGACATGGACCAGGAAACTAAGAATGGCTGATTATTATAACTTGTGTATCCCCTTAGTGAAAGACTTAGTAGAAAATTGTTCATATATATAAACTCATGATATGCACACAGAAACACGCCATTATGAGAGCCATCAGAAACAACAAATTGATTTTGATTCTCAAGGATTCAGAATTATCAGACACAGAATATAAAATGATTATCTGTGAAAAGTTTAATAAAATGAAAAAATAAATGAGCAAGGGACATAGGATTAACAAAATAGCTAGACTTACTTTAAAAATAACTACACAACCTTCCAGAAATAAAAGACATAACTATTGAAATTAAGAATACAATGGATAGGTTAAACAGCAAATTTAAAGCAACTGTAGATAATATTAATGAAATGAAAGCTAGCTCAAATATTGTACCCAAAAGCAGCAGAGAGAGAAGGATCTAGTAACTGTGGGAAATTAAGAGAAAGACAGATTGGAATAAGATCTAATGTACTGATAATATGAGCTTCAGCCAAAGAAAATGGAAAGAATGAAGGAGAAGCAATGTTTGAAGAAGTATATACATATATATAGCTCTAGATAGATAGATAGATATACAACTATACTTTAAAAAAACAGGCATGATAATAATTAACCCAAAATCTCAGGTTAGTGG